ACACACACACACACACACACACACACACGTGCGCGCCCGTTTACTTAGACATAATATGCATACAAGTACGTACACAATCACTTAGCTTTCCTAATTATGCAAAAACGAGTTATTTGTCTTTATTATTTGTCTTGTTTATGCTGCAGTAGTTGGTGTTTAGACATCTAGTTCCATCGTATGAGGTCTGCAAGTCATTACCGGCCTCTGTGATGTAGGTGGTTAGGCCCTTCACCATCGCAAGAGAATTCCCGGGTTCGATTCCTTTGTGGGGAGAATTCTTATATATAGTATCTCGATCTTTCTTTTGGAACGTTGTATCCCTATCATCAGCCAGAGTTTGCCATGGTAGTCAGAGTAGATGCCTGCCTCGTAAACGATGCCAATGGGGACGTTAAAAAAACCCAACCCAAAACACCTACACTTTAAATAAACTTCTACACACATATATTCGTTCAGTCTCGGGCGAAGCAGGGAAGGGGTTGATTAAAGAGCTGGGCCCAGTGGGGGAAGGGCAAGGAGTTGGGGTGGGATTATTGAAAAACTCCCCTAGTCAGGCTGGTGTATAAATATAATACGAGCGTCAAACTCATACAAATGTACCATGGGTGTCTGCGGAATTATAAGAGATCACTTATGTGGCGGATATAAGTTCTTTTACGTTGCATGCAGAAGATGAAAGTTCGATTCTCGAGTGAGGAGGGGGTTGTTTCTTTTTTGCTTTTGTTTGTTTGTTTTACACAACCTTTCAGTGCGAAGCTGTATGCTGGGTTTGACGTCCGTTGTAACACTGTAAGTTAGGTTATTTAAAAAACGGGGCCTCCGATTTAACGTTCCTCCCCGATAAGACCGAGCCAAATGGGTACATTTATTGCATAAACTCCTTTTCGAGTGATACAACGTTGGGCTGAGCTGAGGCTCAAACCCCGGAACCCGTGATATATCATTGCTGTGCAGCTGTTCATATTCTATCATTCAAACATAGAACGCATTATCAATATATCTGTATGGCAGCATGAGACGGAAACACAAGACAACAAGATAAAGTAAAACTGAATCGATTGATACAGAATGCAAGCAAAATGTCAACATCTACATTCCCTTGTTTCGATGAGTTATACAATGTCGTTTGCTCAATGTAAATTGACTCCATCTTTACAGATAATCAACATCCCGTGTTCCCTCAAATTGAAAAAAAAAAAAAAGAATCAGTATGAGGTAAAAGATCTATGCTTTTGATATGTAACAAAGAAGGATACAGAAGGTCATTTACTACACCATCATCCATTAAACGCTTGTCATCTTGTAATCGAAGTATTTTCTATGACCTTTAGAGCTTGCAGTATCAAAATACCATCAGATGACTATCGGAATACAGATTTTGTATCTTGCGTAAACATTATTTTTGTTGTCAAGAATTGTTCCTTTATATCGCGTAAGTTTGAGACTGAGTCTGCTTGTGAGTGCAGGCATATATTATGTGCATGTGTTCAGATGTTGTGGAACAGAGTATGTGTTTGTATGTGTGGGCGGGGAAAGGGGGGGGGGGGAGAAAAACAATATGCAAGCATCTGGACAATAAAGATTTATCCCATCAGGGAAAACAAAATATTATCTCGATTACACGTCCTGTAGCCTATCCATTGATTACCGACGCCATCGAGCATCTCTGCCTGTCTGCCGGGATTGTGTATATCACACTCTGTTCGAGTTGGTCCCGACAGGTAGCCAGCCTCCTAGATTATCGAATACTTTAATTATTGTTTCGATGAGGGTGTAAAACACTTACAATTGATTGGACTCATACCGTATCGCACCATGTGCTTCAGATTTTAGGTAGGCCTATGCAAGTTTTGTTGTTGTTGTTGTTTTTTGTTGTTTGTTGGGTTTTTTTGGTTCGTTTTGGTTTGTTTTAATTTAATGGGGTTTTAATTCTATTCTTTTTATATGAACGGTCCCTTTTGCCAATGAGCTCTCCGGCTGACTGCCTCAAACTAAAATCATTTTCTGGTCGAGTCGCACACTGAAAAGGTGAAAAGAAGGCTGGAGCACTGATAATTTTAAGCAATGCAGAATGATCTTGTTATTCAAGGACACCCTCCAGCCCCTCCTCTCTACCCTCTCCCCTCACCCCTTTCCCCCGTGGTTTTCATATTATGTCGAAGTTTGTGTTGTGACATTCCACATTCCATTCGAACATTCGCTGGGGATATCGATTTTTTTCGAAGGGTCAATTGTATGAGTAGCGTTCCTCGTCTCTAAACCTATATTACGCCTCGATCTATTTCAATTTTCGTTTTTTTTTCATTGCTTCGAATCGACTTTTCCCTTCAAATCCCTCTCTCACTCGCTTACAGGCGGATCAGTAATTTCGCAGACGCGAGAGCATATTGAGCAGAAGTGGTAAATAATAGAAAGCGTCGTGCGCGTGCGTCCAATATAGTCTGCTGCAGTTCAACGAGAACTGGTAACACGACGGTCACAAGAGTTGATATGGAAAGGGGGAGGGGGGTGGGGGGAAGAATTAGGAACTGGAAAGTCTTATTAATTATCTACAGTGTGTGTGTGTGTGTGTGTGTGT